GGGCCAAACTCCCACCCAGCTACTGATACAGACAGGGAGATGGCTTATCAATTATCACTGCAAGAAAACAGACTCAGCTTGAGGAAAATTAATGTAATTTACTGTCAGTTAAAAGAGAATCAGGTAGTGAGGAGCAGAGACAAACATTAAGCCAACACCTTTGCTGCCCTCTCTCTTAAGCCAAACTGTATTCTTCCACCCCAGGCTCCCACACCTTCCACCCAGGGCAGTGCTGGGGGCAGACAGGACGGCAGGGGCAGCTGTGGTCGGTCTGGAACAGCTCCTCTCCACAGCTCCTGCCTGCTCATATATTTCCCTTGCTCCGGCATGGGCTTTCTCCCATGGGATGCAGTCCTTCAAGAATACAAAAATCCTTAAGCATGGGTTCCCAACAAGAATGCTCCACCTGCTCCAGTGTGGGTTCCTCCTGGGTGGCATGGAGACCTGCTCCAGTATCATGGAGAGTGTCTCTGCTGCTTCTCACTCCTTTTGGTTGCCTCCTCTGTCAGGTGTTTTGCCCTTTCTTCTTACACACACTGTCCCCAAGGTGCCCCCCCTTGGCTGTGGGCTCAGCTGTGCCCTGTGGTGGGTGGGTCAGAGCCAGCTGGAACTGTGTTTCCAGCACAGGGCATCCCTGTCCTCTCCTCACAGAGCTACCACCCTGCAGCCCCTGTTGCCAGGCCACTGGCACCCAGTACACAGGTTTAAAACTACTAGTGTTATTTTAATAATAAAAGGAGCATTTTATAGGCTCAACCTAAAATCATAACCTCTATGTAAAAGATTTTCTGATCAATCACATAGGAGGAGGATTTGTATCAGACATTAAGTACTAAATGGTACTATGAGAAATGCAGTTTAAAAAAAACCTAAACGCATTTTCAGAAATGACATTATTTCAGGGGATCAAACAGCACAGGGAAGCTCACACCAAATGCTGCAACACTTGGGACAGGCAGGAGGTGCTGCCCACCCCTACACCCCTTGTGGTTTTCCAGACAGGGCAGGAACTGTGGAGGCAAACTGCTGTCCAACACCAACTCCATTTCAAACATGTCAGACAACTGCCAATGTAATATTAAGTCATTTTCTCAATTATTTGAGGACACTGTTGATAAAGGCCAGTTGCAGATGATGATTTGTCAGCTCCTTCCATCCTCTCCCCCTTTTGTCCTACTTCAGATTTCTCTGGAGCAATCCCAATTCGTACAGTATTGAGTACAACACAGCTCTGATGTGGGTCTGCTGGTCTGAGCCATAACACTGAGGTGAATCTTCCGATTTAAAAAAAAAAACAAACCACAAAACCCAAAACAAAACAAAAACACAAACAAACAAACAAACAAACAGCAAACCCCCTACTTTCCTCAAATATGAGATCCAAATTTTTGTGTATTAGCATAAACACAGTGAAACCAATCCTCATGAATAAAACACAAAGCAAATTTTGACGAATTTAAATTGCGTTAAGTTATAAAACAATTGTAGAGCTAACATTACAGCTTACATGCTGTTACAGAAAATGTTCAAGCCTTCCTCTAGTTTAATCATCATTAATGGCACAGGGAAATTATTTACTATCAAATGGGTCAGAGAATACAGAAAGGTCTTCCCAGTATTGATTTTACACATAACATTAACTTCTTCAGTTGCACTTGCAATTGCCAAGAAGGCTTAACTAATATTAACTCCCCCTGTTATTGAGCCTCAAGGAATAGCCACAGTCAGGATGTCAAACTTATTTTTAAAGGATAAACCAAAACAGCTCAGTGCTTCATGGGCTTGACTAGAAAGTGAATAAAGCCTAACTGACTGAACTGAATTTCTGCCAGTATCAACATAAAACTTTTTTAAAAGGTCAGTCCTATGAATTATTTACTGTTCTCTCAAAGCTGTGTCAACACATCAATTTACTCTCATTCTATTTCTCCCTTACAACCCCGACTAGAATCACTCTGTAACATGCAGGATGGTGACACAAGTCTGCAATGTAGTGAGCAATGTAACAAGACTAGGTAACCACCCAAATTATTCAATGCTTTCAAGACCTAGGAAGAGCAACTGTAGCACAAGCACAGTCCCATAAAGTCTACAGTTTCAGAGCACCTTGGAAAAGACAGGGCAGGCCTTCATCATAAGATCACTCCTGCGCAGGCATAACTCCTTCCAAAAACCTGTGCATGTGACTGCTTGGAGTAGCACCAAACAAGTTCCAGGAGGCAAAACGTGCATCAAGTACTAACAACCAATATTATTATATTATTATAACTGTAAACCTACCCATACAAGAAAACTACACTGCTTTAACTTTGAAGAATTGAACGACTAATGAAAGGTGTAAGAAAGATTCCTCAAAACTACGTTTGAAAGACCATCTTTCCACTGTCTATAATCAGGTTATTTTGCCCCTTAGAAGCTTACAACAGACCATCAAAGCCAGAAGTATTGGCCAAAGTCAAACTACCCCACAGAAGATACAAGTATTTAACCTAATTTCATGAACCTGTGAAGATACAAACCCCTTCTTTAGAAACAGCATTCAAGCCTAATTTGGATTATCATACTGTTAAGATGTTTAATTCTCAAATTCAAATAAAAAAAGGATTGCCCATTAGAAAGTACTGAAAACAAAGTGTAAAAAGCCGGATGCTGCAAACCCACTAAAACATACTCTCAAAGAAAACATAAGTAATGCTTACTGAAGTGGTAATGTTATCAAATACATTCATTAAAAGACAAATTAAATAACCAGCCCAGTGATGATGTTTAATGCTCTATTACTTCTTAATTAAGTTTGACCATGATGCACAACTTCTGTGCAAAGTCGTCAAGACCTCTATACTACCAAAGTGCTTGAAGTGAAGCACATTTCTCTTGACTGATTTCTCCTCTGCAGCAGACACTCCCAGCATCCATGTCCTACCAAGTACAGCTAAACCAGCTGTACTTGCAGAACTTAGGTCTAGGTCAAACACTATTTCGACAACCACTTTTCACAAACAGTACTGGAATTGTGCTACTGTGTCATAACTTCTGTTTAAATGTGCCTCTTCAGTCCAGATGTGGCTGAAGAAAATCATTAAAGATTATCCTCCAAATTTGTATGCTGCAGAACAGCAACCATTACCATCTTCAGATTTGAAAAAGATTCCTTCATATAGTGCTTTATTTAAAAGTGTATTCTTACAGTTTCACTGAAGCGTAATTGATGTTTATAGTTTTGTTCCACTGAAAACTACACTAAGTATCCAGCTACCAAGTATCACACTTCAGTTATGCCTCTGCTGTAACAGAATAAGGTTAGACTGACCTCTGTAAAACATGACGGAATTTTGCCCTTCATTTCCAAAAGACTTCAATTAATAATATTCCTAGCATCTCTTAGCAGTGCACTGTGCTGGCTAAAAATAGCTGAAACAGTTTATTAAACACAGTTTCTCACATTAAACTAGTGATCAAAAACCTCTAACTTCAATCAAAAGCTCTGCAATAGAACACTAATCTTCTTTTATTCTTTAGTCAGAAAATATAGTCAACTTAAATAAACAAAGGTTATGCATTAAAACCAAAAATTAATGCAAACCTGAAATACTGTAATAACTTAAAACACAGCAGTTCTGTACAAGATAATTTTCCTAGCTCACGAGTGTTCAAATTTCTAAGCCATGACTACAAAGCATAATATAAAGAAGTTTCATATAGTGTGTGTATATATATATATGTATATATGAAGTATCTATATTTACTATAAAACAGTTATTGGCTTTAACAAAGAAATCTGGGTTAAATTAATAATATGTAAGATGGGGGGGTGTTCATATGTAATATAGTGCATGTGTTCATAAGAAAAAGTTGCAGATTTCTGCTCAGACTGAAAAGTCAGGAAGCCTACTCATCACAGTTCCTACTGTTTTTCAGACTTCTCAGCTACTTACACAACAGGCAAATTCCAGAAGTACACAAAGCTTCTCACAAGTATTTTAATAGATGCAGATAACCTGTGTACTTAGCTACACTTCTATAGAAACATTAGTTGTTTTTAAATCCTACATAAATGTTATCAGCTTTCAGCAAGAACATTATGCATCAACTGAAATACAGATATCTCCAGTTGCAGTTGTATTAAAGAGTTCTAATGAAAATGTTCACATAAGAGTATCACAATTTTCATTGCACACAGGTTCCAGTTATACTCAAAATTAAGAAGATGCCAGTATGCTAATTTTCTAATTTGTTAAAGGAATGCATTTTTACTTCACACTGTTTGTTTACTAAACGTTCATGGTCAACCTTGATATTAATGTCACATAGCAATACAAGGCTTTGAAAACATTCAAAAAGCAATCTAAACTGCCTTCATGTTTTTCAATGCTGCATTTTCTTGGATTAAAATTCTGTACATTAGACATGGTCACCAACTTTTAAACCCAGTGAACCATAAACTGGCAATTCCTGAATTGATCACCGAATTACTAACAGAAGAACATTCACATACAGTATTTACTATATATGTCCTAACCAGATGTGATACCTCAAATATTCATTCAACAAAGACTTTACTTTTGCCTGATATGTTCTGACTTAGCTCATTTCAGTTCTTACTAACAAAAGAAAGAGAACAATTAAAAAAACCTATTTTTCTTGTTCCAACAAAAAACTGTTGCAAAATGCTATGGGAGAAAAGAGATGAGTAGAAAAAACAGTTGTGTGCATAGGGCTAACATTTTGAATGAAAGATCATATTACTGTCTCTGTGAGAAACAATTTTAAAATCCTCTAGCAGAAATTTCTTTACAATGCGCATCATAAGCTAAATTCCATTTAAAATTTATGAACACTCAGCTTATAATGAACTTTTTTAGTGCTGCCAGTATTTTTGATAGCATTTCTGGTATTCTACAGATGGAAGCAGATAAATTTAAAAGTCAAAAAAAGCTACTGTCCAAGAGTGTCACTAAATAACGCAACAAAAGTTGTAAAAATCAGACTGTCTGACTTACCGCCAATGCTTTAGATAATTTTGTTCTATAGTTATTCAAAACAATCGCATCAATCTCCTTAAATGGCACATATGCAAAACCATCTTTAACAAATACTCTTCTGGTTCTAAATAGATCTACAGCATCCGCAAGTCCAACCTGAGAAAGAAGAAAAACACACATTTTGGAACAGCAAAATAATGCAGTAACAATGTTTACAGCCCTCAGATTCAAGATGGACCAGTAAAGCTTTAAGTCATTCTCTGTCCTTTAACACTGTCTCCAGACAAAATCCAAAGATTGTGAAATTACACGCTGACTTAGGAATAGCTGATCATTATTTTAGTGGAAAAATACTGTTTGCTTATGGAAAGTCATGCAACTCATCAAAATAAGATACTTCAAAGTTCCTATCTACAATTATTAACTCATTTATGTAGCTTTGCACTGCTTACTGATTTGATATTTGAAAATGGACTTCTGCTGGCCTTCTGTTTCAGATGTCTCAAAATATTTGATTCATGTAAGCTACATTTAAGAGGTCTTGCTAACAGATCTGGAACCCAATTTCGCTCCAAAGAATCAGTCGGCTCCATTTAGAAACTTCTTTCCTCTCCCCTTGTTCTCTCACAAAATGAATTCCAGATTAATACTATCAGACCAAACATAGTTTCAGCAACAGATATTTGAGAATGTCTCCATCCTGAATTGTTCTTCAGCCAGGCAAATTAAGTCATTTGTCTGGGAAACATTACAACTTAAGGCCATTTTTGTGTCAAAAGCAAAGGATAGCAGAAGAGGACAGAAGTTTAGTAGTTTAAAGCTCCCTTCATTTTCCCAGTCCCTCTCTCTACCCTTATACCCATATGAAGCAGAGAAACTCTCATTAGACTCAGTTAATTTAGATAGTTGGATTAACTGTTAGTATTGGGTAAACTTTAAACTAGTAACTGCACATTTAACTAAGAGAGAATGAATGCAGATCTGAGGAACTTAGCAATTTCTACTTACCTTATAGAACATTTGTTCTTTTACTTTAGGCAGACTGAGGCCAGGAGTTGATGTATACAGCTCATTTGCCAGTTCAGTTTTCAGGTCTTCACTAACCTAAAACGAAGAAGTTGTTTTAAAACTGCTGAAATACTTTAGAATAAGGCTTTTTTTAATTAACATGAATGAAAAGATTATTTCAACTGTAAATATATCACCAGCTTAGTTGAAAAGGGAAAAATAATTACATATTCAGCACGTGAACACTAATAATCAATTAAGCAGAAACCAGTAAAACACTAGTGGTCAATAGTGTTAAGCAACTTTCCTTATGAAGAAAAACATCAGATTTTAAAATACAATAATTTTAAAAATTAACACAAGAACTGGAAAACATACTTTTTAAAAGTCAATCTCTTTAAAATAAAACTCATGACAATGCTTGCTCATCTCTGAATTTATTATATGCATTAAAACAAAGCAGGATGAATCAATGGAACTTAGTAAGGGTTTTGTCAGTTTTTTAACAAAAACATCACTTTCAGCTCATTTTTAAATCCTTTTAACAAAATTATATATAATCTTATATTCATAAATTTAACTTTTTTTTTTTAAGGAGTGAGAACAATGGTATATTTATTGTCCTCTAAATGTTAGCACTTTTCCAAGTAAGTTAAGCAGCAATGCTCTAATTTAACAACTTGAAGTATTTAACCCAAAATTTCTAGCTTGAAAAATCACAATGTTAACTTACTAATACAAAAACTTAAATACTGCATATACGTTAACACACATCACAGAATCACAGAATATCCTGAATGGAAAGGGACCCACAAGGATCAGAGTCCAGCTCCTGGCCCTGCACAGGACCATTCCCAAGAGTCACACCATGTGCCTGAGAGCATCATCCAAACGCTTCTTGAACTCTGTCAGGCTTGGTGTTGTGACCACTTCCCTGGGGAGCCTGTTCTAGTGCCCAACCACCCTCTGGGTGAAGAATCTTTTTCTAACATCCAACCTAAACCTCCCCTGACACAACTTCAGGCCATTCCCTTGGCTCCTGTCACTGGTCGCCACAGAGAAGAGATCAGTGCCTGCCCCTCCTCTTCCCCTCACAAGAAAGTTGTAGACTGCAATGAGGTCTCTCCTCAGTTTCCTCTTTATAGCTTTCTTATATTGTGGTGCCCAAAACTGCATACATTTGCCTAATATGTTCTTGATAAAGTATAATGGAAGTAGTCCCTGAGTGAAAGGGATTAAGTGTTAAGAAACACAGAATACCTTCTCAAAATATAGATGGACAGAGATGTCATCAAAGCATAACGTTGTGAGACACTGCTGGATGTGTCTAGTCAGGAACCAAGCCCAGGCCATCACAGGCAACACATGCCCAGACTCCAAATGCAAGATAAAAAAGACACTCTGTCCTTCACCTCCATGGAAAGAGTTGTGCATAAGCAGTTTTCTTTTCTGAATAGGGCAGAATATCTAATTTGCTGATCAACAATGACATGCAGTTAAATAGGCATTTGAACAAAATTTTTTTCCTTCTCAATTGAAAACCTCAAGAAAATGAAACAAAACACTTTTCTTGGAATTCATAGGAAGGACCCTTTAGTTTCAAACTTGTAGAAGCACCTTAGCAAAAGAAAAAAGTGATTTGATAGATGCATATGATATGGCCAAGGCAGTAATGTCAAGAAGGTTTATGGTTACCCTGTCTGCATCTTGATGTACTCTCTCAGGAAAAACAGCTTTAAAAAATAATAACAAAGACAATAGCAAGGCAGAAGAATGTAACTTTGAAGACAGAGGAAATACACAGTAGCATTATATTTCTGCATTTGAAAATTTAAAGCTCAGGGAAAAAGAGCCTGTAAGGAAACCATTTTTCTTTAACAAAGTAGCTGTATCAAAACAATTAAATGAGTTTCTGTAAATGCAACTAGAAAACATTTTCTATAAAACGTTCTCATTACCAATCTACTTCTTGATAGACTTTGAAAAATTCCCGCTTTTCAAACATGACACACTAAACTATATTCAAATTTCACACAATGCTACTAAAACCCCGCAACTCCCTCCAGATGATCTGTTTCTTGTCTAAATCTAAGTCACCATATCAGCCTGCAAGGATGTCTTTCACCTGCTATAGACCAAAGTTCAAATTTTAATTCCAAAATAGTGGCTTCCATTTTTCAAATCTAACATTTTTATGCTTTCTTACTAGAAATTGTTTAAGAGAGCCCAGTCTATCACGTCATTCCAAATCCTCAGTGACAGTGTCTTTGAATAAAAACAGCATAACACATTGTAGTTGCACTACAGTTGCATTATTTCTTCTAGGATATCTTACTATAAAACACATCAACCCAAGCTAAAGACAGAGTGGTGTTTTGGGTTTTTTTTTGCAGAACGCTGTTAAAACACTCCAGAGACTGTTTTATAAACAGGCCAGCAACACTGGGTGGAGAACAAGAATTTGTTCTTCCAAAACCAATTAGCTCATTTTCATCCACAAAACCACTTTTTTCAGTATTACACTTAATTTCAGTGGGGTTTTATCTTTAAGACACACATAAAATAATTATACTGACTCCAAACTTCACAAGTTGTCTAGCTCCTTCTTTATTAGTAATTTGACTAAATTAATCTTGTACAGATGTAAAGTCACAGTGATTTTACTTTTTCTTGCACGTACTAGCAAACAATTTAACGCTGTTGGGGTAAAAGCTATCCTGGTGAAACCTCACAAAAAATAGGCTAGTGGGCCATGACTGAAGATTTGGATAAGACTGTGGAAGTGTTCCCAAAAATATTTTTTTCAAAAATTGTATTTTTTAAACAAACACGAATATTATTGCAAAGTGCTATTTATAATATAAATAAATAATACCTATAAAGTTGTAAAATAACTTACATCTTACAGCCTCAAGTATCTTATAGGTTAGACACACCTTCAGCAGCCCTGCAAAGACTTTGATCCTTGCCTTTTCTCTGAATTTCCATCACCTTGACATTTTCAGGTGATAGAGAAAGAAGAAACAAGGGCATCCCTAGCCCCTAACTAAAGCTGAGAGACAACTCCAGAATGCATTTAAAAATAGAATTTGCTTCCCTAAAGACTGGAACATGAAAAATAACCTTCCATTGGCATTACTGATTTCACCACTTTCACGTAAAATTGATTGAAAATGCAATGCAAAGAAATATACTCCTCATAGTCTAAAGTCAGACTCAAGCTTTCAGTCAGGTTGTGCCTGTATCTCTACATACAGAGCACCATGAAACCATGAATCCCAATTTTTCTTGGTTCACAGAAGCTGGAAAAGATTATTTTTTTCTGTTGTTTTTATTTTTTAAATTATTTTAATAAGAATACTATGGTTTGTCTATTTAATAGTTTCATCTCTAAAATGGCACTTGGAAGAACACATTTCAGTAACTAATCATTAAAACCTAGACACAACTAAATACAGCATTCAGGATTCTAATCAAGTCTAGAAAGACAAATAGGTTGCTTAACGTTTGACAGCACTCAGTGATCCTCACCAGATAAAATACTGTGTTGTTCAAAACATTAAAAACCAAACAAACCAAAAAAAAAAGCCCAAAACAAAACACAGAACTCTTCTGAGGGTCTCATTTGGTGAACATCTGACCTTCCACACTGAACTGATTCAACTCACCTCACAGAAAACAGTTCACTAGTTTTGCTTCCTTTGTTTGTAGACAATATAGTAAAATGCTGACCACTATGTCAGCCTTTGGTTTGCCTAAGCAAAGAATAACAGCATAGCTTGAGACAATTCAACACTTCATCATAAGTCTCTCAGACTTAGAAAATTTACAAAAATAAAGACATAAAAAGGGAAGGTATGAGAGGAAGGGGAAGAAGCAAGTAGTCAGGACAAGCTGTATTATTTCTAGGCTTTTTGTTTTCTACGTGCAGTTTACTCACTGATTTTTAATCACAGAACTGTCCAGGAAACACAAAGACACATAAATTTAGATTAAAATATGAATAATTTAATATGTAAGGCTTAGTTACACAAACATAGTCAGTGAGGTAGTTCAAAAATTTCAAAATAAATTTGATATCCTTACTCCGCTTTAATGAGGAGATAAAGATGCATGCACACATTATACCACTACACATGTGCAACTACTTAATTTTGGTGTTTCTAAGTCTCCCAGTAAGGAACATACATACATAACGACAGTCAACTACTGTAGTAGCTATAAACCTAGATATCAGTGGTGTTCCCTTTATCTGGAACAAAAAAGAATTTTAAGAAAGCAACAGTCAATTCTATGACAAAGTCACAATTTGTTTTCACTTTAATCTATCTTCTGAAACTTGAACGATTAAACTAAGAAATTTATTACTTCTTTTGAAATTAAGTACTTTAGGACAAGAATAACCCGCCACGTTATTTAAAGCAGTGTCTCATTTAACAAACTCTAGCATTCAAAAAAATTACCCTACTCCTAAGCCTTTCCAGATACAATTTTGTTTCTATTATGACTTTAAGCATGGAGCTGACTGAAAAATAAATATTCTTAGGTTACTTTGGCAGTAAGGCACTTGTTTCCCACTTAGGCATCACTTCTGACCTTTGCTGCCACATGTAAGACAAGCATTGCTGATTTTCAAGCAAAGGGACAAATATAAGATTTAAGTAGTGGAAAACTAAGATAAAATTCAGAACCATTTCCTTAACAAACACAAACTTCAGCCTATTTGGACAGTAAAATTAAGGTTTAGACAATCTTTACTTTTAGGCGTTTTCCCCATCCTGTCTGGGAAAGGAAGAAATATTATTTGATACATCTAAAATGCACAGCCATAAACCCTACCAGAAGAACATTTTGGTTTAAACAGCTGCTACCAAAATGGATAATTATAGTCACAGTCTTTTGGTGGATAGACATGATATTGAGTATCTGTACTTACTAGGGACACAAACTAGTCCCCATTCTCATTAATCCAATTCTGACTTTAGGATCTTCTGTATCCAATAAAGGCAGTCATAAAGTACTTTTTCAAGAAGCTAAATTACAAATATTTATACAACTGCCCCACTACCAAGATAAATGCTTTTGAAGAAAGCGAT